GCTTATACTCATGTGTATTTTGTCTCTTCAGATTAAAATATAAGCTCCTTAAATGTAGGGACTGTTTTATTTTTATCTTTTTTATTTCTAGAACCTGGAACACAAAAGCTGTAGGATATTGTGATAGTTCATGTTGATTTCTTTTCCGTGTTCCATTTCCTGTTTTTCAACATCACTAGCTTATTTGGAGGTGTTGTAATTTCATGCTTTATCTTCTTCTTTATCTTTCTATGTGTTTTTTGTTCAACAACCCAAATTTACTTCTATAACATATGTCTTCCTATTATGATGTTCCAAACATGACTCATAGCCTATTCTTTCTCAGTGATTCATTTGAATGTACATACTTGTATAAGAGTTCTATTTTATTTTGCTTATTGCCTATGATATAATAATATTTTTGTAAACATTTGAGGCTATGGGTTTTCTTACTGTCCCTTCCCCATTTGATATTTTCTTCTGATAAGTTCTGGGTTTCTACTGTTCTTCCTGTTTCAAATCTGCCACTCTTTGTAATATTTGGCTTAGGTGTTAGGTATCTCAGTAATTTTCCTCCTCCAGTTTCAGTTTAAAACATTTGTAATTAGTTTACAGGTCTACTTTCCCCTTAAAATATACATACACATTTACATACATATGTATTTATGTATAGGCTTTTTTTTTTAGGTGTGTTATAAACCTCAAAGTACCATTTTCAGAGACCATCTTCTTAAGTAGCGATTAACTTCACAGATCTACCCTGATAGCAATTATTTTTAGCCTCATTTTGGAACTTTTTTCTTCTCTCCCTCTCCCCTTCACCTCCATGATAATTAGGCATAGGTGGTGGTTGTCTGATTTGCTAAGTCTGGAGGTTCCCTTTCACATCCAAGATACATATCATGATGAAATCTCCCCATTTTAGCAGAGTGTTACAGAGTCTCAGCAGTAGAGGGGACTTCAAAGACTTTCCATTCTAACCTATGCCTTTTCAGGAAATTATTCTACGGCATCTCCAACAAGAAGTCATCTAACCTTTATCTAAAAACCTCCATTGAAGTGGGGAACCTACTGCATCTTGAGGCAAACTATTCCACTTTTAGATAGCTAAAATTGTTAGGAAGTTTTCCCTTCTATCTATTTTAATTAAATCTGCCTCTCTGCAACTTATGGTTTCTGCTATTGCTCAGTTATACCATTAGGCCAAAGCAGATAGAGAGTAATCTTCCTTTTACGTGATAGCCCTTCAAATACTTGAAGATAACTATCATTCTTTATTTGGACTTGAAAATTGGGAAAGTCAAATTGACTCTATTTTGTTATTGGTTTGATTCTGTATCACTGTTGACATTTTTGTAACTGCCTACATTATGTTTCATTTGTCTTGGAGTTGTTTGGAAACTCAGCATTTTTATAAGTCACTTATTGTCTCCAAGTGAAGTTTGGAAGTTCAGTTCTCCTGCTAATCTCTGTTCTATTTTTGCCTCAAAGAAATCTCATGCTTGAAAAATGCACGTAGACACCAGGGAGTCTGGTCTGTTGTCCAGGATAGTCTGGTCCACTATCACTAAACTGTGCTTGTGGTAGATTCCAACAGTGAACATTTCTTAGTGACAGGATTGAAGGAGGGCTTTTGTTGCTAGCCCCTCCTTCTCAAATTTCCAGCCAGTCATTTTGTTCCTCATGCCTTCATTGATGCTGCAGACTTTGTGACCAATCATACTGTTTTATCTGTGATGCTGTCTTCTATACTGGGTGCTCTTTTCTTTTATGTATAAAAGAGAATTGTCTCTCTCCTTTGGGGTCTTAACTTTTCTAAGAAGGCTGAGACCCTGTTTATTAGTGAATTTGCACTTTGTCGATAAATTGATCATGTTGAACTTTGTGCTTTGATTTCTCTCATAACAGGGTAAATGTTTACCTAAGAGTGTCTTCAGCTAATTCTACGTAGCATATGATTTGTCTCCTCAATCTGGTCACTCCTTAGGGTTTTCTCATGTTTTTCATTATTTTTTCTATAATGTAGTTCCCACAACTGAATGTAAAACTCTATTTGTGGTCTGATGGAGGCAGAGAACAAAGTGTAGGACAAGACAAACTGGTTTAGCCTTGCTTTCCCTGTCTTGTGCTCATGTGGTTTATTTTTAGCATCCACATGTTGGATATATTTCTGTTATCTTAATTCAGTTTGGCTTATTGTTCTAGCATAGAAAAATCTTTGGGGATCCTGACACTCATATCCAGTGTGTTAGTTATCCCTCCCAGCTTCATTCCATCTGCCAGTTAGGTAAGCATGCTTGTCAAGGCTTCATTCAAATCACTGATAAAAATATTGAACATTTTTATCAATCAAAGAACAAAGACAGATCCCTTAGATCCTTCAGAGTACAACCTCCATTTTGATTTTGACTAATTATTTACCTCTCTTTGGTTCTAGCCAGTTAATCATTTTTGAATTTACCTAATTGTACTAACATTTCTTCTATCTCATCCTAATACTAGCCTTTTGTACTGTGCCCCCTTTTTTATTATTCATCTTCCACTATTTGTTCTTGCTCCCATGTTCTTTTCATGTTGTTTTGAAATTTAAGTTGTTCAGTGAGTTCACTTAATGCATCCAAATTAATCAGCTTTGGCTTTTCTCCCTCCTTTCTCTCCCTGGAATAATTTGTGTTTATTTCATCAGAAATTTATTCTTCAGACCTTTCAGGCCATGGGAACTGCCCATCTTTTCTACGAACGCTTTGATGTCAGCTAAATGTGGGGTCTCCCTGACTATATGCATGTTTTGCCCATCACAGATTTTAATATGGGGCTAGTAAGTTCTTCCTTAGGTTCCCTTCATTTTTTTACTTTAGTAACTGATTCTTCTTATACATTCAGAATCAGGTCCTGAAGTGTAGTACTCACCTTGCCTTTTCCCTCATCTTCCTTTAGATTGGAATTATTAAAGCCAATCGAGAATTTTTCATGTCCTTCTTTTGGCAAAGTGAAAGCTTTAATGGATGTCTGGAAATTTGAAGTTACCAGTAATTATGATATAATTTTTCTGTGCCAGGTTTGTAATCTGGTCTGTAAACTCCTTCACTTTTTTACTCCATTTGTTCAGCTGATCTGTAGTATACTTAAAAGGAAATACTACTTTTGTTTTTCTTTCCTCCAAATGCTGACCACTCTTCTTATTTGTGGATTCCTTCACATGTGTTAAATATTCTTAAACAATGATTTACTACCTCTAACTGTTAATATCTGTTTTCATTTTTTTATGTGATATTTGCTTCTGTAGCCATATTCTAGTGCTGAGTTCCGTTGATCTCACCAAATCTCAGTGATACATGTGTTGTACTTGTTTTCTTTGATTATTCTTAATTTACTCATATTTTGTACGTCTGTGCAAAGAAATTTATGGTCATGGACTTTATTTTTCTATTTATTCTTGGATATATCTTTGTGAATTAATGGTCTTCTCTACTTCTTTTAATGTACTTATTGCTCTATGTGCTGTTCAGTTCGGTGGATACATTTAGGCAGTTTCCCCCTCCATACCATTTTTAGTTTAAAACATTTATCATGTTTTCCACACATGAGATAACTTTATCTTTATCAGGTAATAGGTATATTCCCTAACTGGTCTTGAAGCCATAATTTAAGCCATCATCCAGAAATCCAAATACTTTTCTTTGGAGCCTCTTCTTTTGACAAGAATGATGAAAACAGCACTTATGCCACTAAAATTTGCTATCTGATGCCCAGAATTTCACAGTGTATAGCAACGTTTTCCAAATGCTAGTTAGTTAGTTAGTAGTTGTCTGGTTTGTCAGATATTGTCATTGTCATTGTCAGATCATGTCTTAGATACATAGCCTGGGAAGACAGCAGACTTAAGTGTCTCAACCATAAAGTCTTGACAGCCAGTACTTGTCTCTTCTTTTTCTCCCTAGTACTTCATGACTTTCTCCTTTTATTGCTTGTTGCTTTGAAACGTCATGCCCTTGAATATAAGCAGCTCTTTTCTACTTAGATACACCTTCTATGGGAATAGTGATATACCTTTTTTATAGCTCTTAAGTAGATATGAAGCAACTAAGAGTTAATCAAATCTCATCTCCTTTATCCGCTGTGCTGAATTATGACAAATAATAATCAGAATCAGCACCCTCAGACATGAATCTTAATAGCATTGGGTGTCATCTTGTCTGACTTACCATTCAGTTTAGTTGTTGCCTTTATGGTATACCTAGCAGGTGGTTAAAGAATCAAGTCATTTTTATTTATTATTAGAGCTATAAAAGGTACCTCATTTTTAAAAAAATTTTTTTTTTTTTATTTTTAGGCAGTTGGGGTTAAGAGACTTGCCCAGAGTCACACAGCTAGTAAGTGTCAAGTGTTTGGTCCGAGGCCGGATTTGAACTCAGGTCCTCCTGACTCCAGAGCCGGTGCTCTATCCACTGCGCCACCTAGCTGCCCCATGAAGGTACCTTGTCTTGAATAAGATGGATTTTAGTTTCCTGTCAAAGCCTTCATTTAAGTTGAAACTGACCTTAGGTGTCTAGGAGAGCATCTTGTGTAGAAATTTAGTTTCCATCTACATTTTACCTGTTCTTTTCTCTTCTCTTGTCTCACATATAGCTGTTATACTTCAGATTTCTTCTACTTGCTATTTTCACTTTGCTGTTTCAGCATCTTCTAATTGTTTCATAGTGTCTCGATTTCACTTGTTTAATTTCACAATACTCCCCTTCAAAGCTCTGCATTGTATGTATCTTATTTCTTTTTAAAATAAAATTATTTAGACTTCATTTTGGGAATTTTTACAGAATTTCAGGATAACCCCTTGGGGTGATTGGAAACATAATGGAATTTTTTACCTAGATCCTGAATTGTTTTTGATGGAGTAAAAATAAAATCAAATTGAAATTAGTATATAAAGAAACATGTTGACAACATATCTGAAATTCTTGTTTGTTATATTTATCGTGTGAGACATAAAACCTTTTATAATTTCATATTTTTCTTTTCAGAATCCACCAAATCCACCCGTGTCACCAGGGAAGTCATCTGCAAATGAAGTTGTCAGCATTAATACTTTAACGTATAGGTGAGAACTAAAAGCATTATACATAATATTCACATTTTCAGGGAAGCCAGTTTGGATAGGGAAAAAATGAAACTTAATCACATATATATGCTGAATTAATCTTTTACGTTTTCTCTATTTTCTGTTTCTTTCCTGCTAAAATTTAATATTTGAATTTAAAATAATTTTCCCCTAAAAATTATTGTAAAAAAAATTTGTGGTAAAGGAGTATTATTTTAAGTAGTTTAGAAATGATTGGGAAAACTTTTTGGTAGATTATGTTTTTCTAAGCTTCCTAATCTTTGCCTTCACATTGAAACAGTCAATAAAAAAAATGATCATCCTGCAACTTTTTTGGCCACATTATTTGGAATTATTTAATATCTCCTTGCTCTTCTACTTTTCTGCCTCAATGTATCCTGTCTTTACTTCAAAACCAAGTTTTTGCAGCCTTTTGATACTTTTCCCTTTTTATTTATTATTGTTTCTCTCTGTTCTATGTGTACCTTTTGGGAATGTTGATGTTAACATTTATTCTGCAGAAATGCTGGCACAGTGAGACAGATGCTGGAGTCTAAGAGAAACATAGGAGAAAGCACACCATCACCTTTTCAAGCCCCTGTCAATACAGGTAACAAAGCTCCCCTCACCAAGATAAAAATGAATTTTAATGAGTTTTAGGATTTATATTTTTGCCTTTTTCTTTTCAAGCATTTGCAAGCGGGAATGAAAATGAAAAGAAATATGAGTACATTTGCCTATATTAGAGCACCAAATACAATTATATCGTATTGGCAGCAGTACTGTAAGGCAGTCATCTTAAAATTTTAGATGAGTAAATCACAGAGTGGATATCATTTTGTCTTAGTTTTATGTTGTAGATAAATGTCTAAATGTTGTACTTATGTGCTGAGTACCTTGGCATCAAAAATTCCAAGCATTTGAATGGAATGTATAATAGCTAAGAAGTATAGAAATCAAAGAAACTACTGAACTCCAGTAATACTCTGATTCTTTTGCTTTGCTTTGGGTTTTGGTCCCATTTTCCTCTCCACACCCATTTCATTTCATCTGCCACATTCATGTTAATCTGCATTCATTCTTTTTGGTCCAAGTTATTCTAGTTAGGATTGGACTAATTAGGTTAGGCATTCATTAACTATCTCTCTTAGCTAACTCAGGAAAAATTTGTTGCAAGGAATAAAATATTCCCTAATAATAAAATTTATGATATTCAAATAGTTTTTACTATGACCTCATCATATTGGTTAATGGTGATAATAATCTTTGAAATGAATTTCTTATTTTAGTGGCTTTTGAATTTTATCTTAGTTCCTCATTGTTTATTTTTGCTAATAGATTGCTCAGAAGTTAATTAGGTCTTGGCATTGTGTCCAACAGAACAGGCTTTTATTAGTCACATAACATTTCTCTGAACATTAATTTTCATTTTCAAGCTCTCTTTGTACTAATGAATGCAATATAATTTTCTTCCAAAATTATTCTGTATGCTCAGTTGTTTTAAATCTAGATGTGGTTTATAAAAGTTTTTATGCTATCTGCAAATTAACCTAATATTTGAAGGTTTGCATTACTTTAACCCAGTTGATAATTAAAAATGAAAGTGGCTCACTGAAATTCATAATAATCTTCTCTCTATTTATAGTATCTTCATCCAGCCTTACCACCCCTCAGACAGTGGTCAGTGGTCAACCTAAATCTCAAACTCCAGTAACCTCTGGTTCCTTGACGGCATCAGTTCTTCCTGCACCAACTACGGCTCCAGTAGTTGCTTCTACCCAGGTGTCCAGTGGAAATTCGCAACCCACAATATCTTTACAGTCTTTGCCGGTGATCTTACATGTACCTGTTGCAGTATCTTCCCAGCCTCAGCTCCTACAAGGCCACACAGGGACTTTGGTCACTAATCAACAGCCTGGCAATGTTGAATTTATTTCTGTGCAAAGTCAGTCTACGGTTAGTGGTCTTACCAAAAATCCAGCGCCCTTGCCATCAACAAACCCCATTAAACCAAATAACAACCCATCTGTACCCAGTCCTAGTATTCAGAGGAACTCTCCGGCCAGTGCTGCATCATTAGGAACAACACTTGCAGTACAGGCTGTTTCAGCAGCACACCCTATTGCACAAGCCACAAGGACTTCTTTACCTGCAGTAGGTACTTCAGGACTGTATAATCCAGCCAGCAATCGAAGTTCCATACAGATGAAAATTCCACTTGCTGCATTTGGTACTACTTCTGCTGCTGAGCCTAGCAGTACTGCAGTTCCATCTAGAGTTGGTAAGTTATCATGGGATTTAGTGTTAGTGGTGGCAGTCTGGAAAATAGACTTTGGAAAATAAAACTTGATGTCAGTGGCTAGAAGCTCTAGCCACTTGTATAAAGGAATAGGGTAAATAGTATTCCCTTAGAATCAGTTAATCCTTCACATCCATAAATAGGAAAAAAATGACCTGTGAGTTTTACTGGGGGTAAGGAGAGGCTAAAAATTGTATACTATGAGTTATTTTTTTTAATATACCTTCTATATCAAACAAGTTATTTTAACTTTTTTCAAAAGTTATTCTGGAACATGTATCTTGCATAAAGGAAAAAATCCTCTTAGGAGGGAGGAATAATACCAAGTCCCTACCCATGTGGATTTGAGCTTTCAAATTCCACATTCTTCATCTGTATTTCCCTTAGTATCTCCAAGAAGAAGGCTATTCTAAAACCTTATTTAGTGTTTATAGCACAATTGAGGTGTTTTGGGGGGACTGGGCCAGGGAGGAGAAGGGGAAGAAACAAGGAAATGAGCTAGTATTATCAGATTTCTTTGCAGTATAAAACCATGTTTAATAGTGTATATTTAGATATAAAAATATTTGGTTATCAAATGCTCAGAAAATAAACAACTTATGTCTGAAATCTTTAAAATCCATCTATGTATTTTTTTGCTTTAATCTTCATGTTTAGATGGTGTTTCTGACCTTAAACTGTTTTCAAAAGACAAAGATGTCAAGTGGCAGATTCCATGGTTGTAAAATTTCCCAGTTATCAAATAGATTCTAAATTAAAAGATACCTTTTGAAGATAAAATATCAAGTGTTTTATCATAATCAACTTTATTTTAATAACCATAGTGTATGTCTTGAGCATACATATGCATATGTGACCTGACCTATTCAGTAGCCTACTCCTTGGCTCCTTTTAAGCACTGATAACCATTATTTTATGGTAATAATGAATACATAAACTGGGGTAGAGCTTAATGACAGTTCAAGGTCCAAATACTAATTTAATCACAGTTTAGTTCTGTCAACCAAGACTTATCGTCAGCTCTATCAGTGCACAAAGCTAGTCAGTGTGTGCCACTCTGTGTGTGTGTATGTGACTATGATAATTTGTTATAAAAAGATATCAAAAATCTTAACCTTTGGGTTACAAGCAAAGATATTCTTGAACTTTAATTTTCAGTTGAAAAAAAAAGCTGACTTATTGTTCTATAAAGTATGTGCAGGCAAGAGTAGGAATTCTCATCTCAGGATTCAGAAGGTTCACTTTTTTGATGAAATATCCCTATCTTGTGAACCTTTTCAATACTGCCAGCATGTTTACAAATATAGTCATAAATGGGTTTGATTGGTGATGCCTGTTAATAGAGTACAAGTTGTTTAAATATACGGTAATTGTTCTATGTAAACAGATCAATATTCCAAGATATCTTTGATCTTGATGATACTTCATATATGTATGTGTATTTTTATATGTATATATACACATATATCACAGTGTGTTATTCCAAACATATGCATATGTAACACTCTAAAATGATATCTCTGAATCATCAAAGATTAAATTGTATCCGTTTAATTTTATTTTCAGGTATCTTAATGTATTTAAATATATATATGTGTATATATAGTTGTTTATATATGATTATAATTATATTATTGTTATAATATTATAATGATATATAATTAATTATATAGTATTAAATTAAATTAAAAATTCTTTTCAGTTAGTGATCCATGTATAGTGTACCTTTTAATGTTATCAAGCAGAACATTGGACCAAAAAAGACACCCTATTCTCCAACCATGTAATCATGTAGCCAAACCTCTAGTTTGATTTCTTGACATTTTTCTCAATACCAGGATATCAGGGTGAACCTTAAAGAAGAGTTGGTTGTGATATCGGCATCCAGCATTCATTAGTTGTTACTACCAAATGTGCTTTAGAATTGAGAACTATAGATCTTATTTGATCTTCACAATAACCTTGTATCCAGGTGTTGTTATCCTCATTTTACAGGTGAGGAAACTGCAACTCAAAAGAGATTAAATGACATACCCACGATCACAAATCAGAAGTTGAGCTGAGATATTTGCTGACTACCAGTATAGTAGTCTTTCTGCTATTACCATATTGCTTCATAAGTCACACCGGGGAGTTCTGATGGAAGCTCTTTAAGTGCCTATATTCCTCTGAGTTTGTTGAATTCATCTTAAGATATGCCTTAATTAATAAAAGCAAATGCTTATAGAATGTATTCTTTAATTGGGCTAATTCATTCTCAATTTAGAAATATTTTAGGAACTTACAAAAAAAAAAAAAAGGAAAATTTCTATCCTCCTTGCCAAAAGGACTGTGAATAAAGAAAGAGAAAGGTGCAGATAAAGTTGGCTTTAGTTTTAGTTTCTTCTGTTGTCTTGGTCAAACATGTTTATTTAATCATAACTGTTTTCAAGAAAGTTGAGAATATATTACCCTCTTAGTTAAGTAAAATTGCATTATTTTTTCTGGTTATTATTTTATTAATAGAGTATGGCAAAACTATCCCCCATATATCTTTAATTAACCTATGCAGTTGGTGGTCACTCTTTTCTATGTAATTTCACAAAAATTGCTTTGGGAGGAGAAGGTGGAGACAGAGTAGTGTACTTGTGATTTCACTGATTTAGGAAACTCCTTTTGGGGAAATCTCCTCTACCAATACAGATCTCTTAACTACTCCACAACTTGCTTAGAGAGTTGCCTGGCACACTTAAGGGTCATGACCCGACTAGGGTCACACAACCAATATATGACTAAGGTAGAACTTGAACCTAGGAATTATTTCAGTTACTTTCAGAAACTTAAGTAGTTGTGTATTGATTTTCTCATTATATAGTAATTAACAAACTAAATTAAAGAACCAAAATCATGACTCTGAAATATTGAGAAATGACTTATTGAGAATTCAGTTATGAATTTTGAGAAACTTAAAAGTTATTTCATACCGTAAGAAATTCATTTGATTAGCAATTTGTCATTCTTCAAATTGACTTGGATTTTATCAGCTCCATCCCAGGGGGAGTAAAATTTAATGTATTTTTTTATTAAAGAGAAATTATTTTCTGTATTGTAACTGTTGGAACATTTGTTATGTTGTGTGCAGCTCTAGTTGAAAGGAAAATTGTTTTTAATTCCTTAGAAAACCAGACCAACAAAACCACAGATGCTTCTGTGAATAAGAGACCAGCTGAGAATACACCACAGGTAGGATTATTCTTCATCATAAAATCTTAGTGAAAATCCACAGGGGTGTGATCTCAATTTTTCTCTCATAACTTTTTTAACCAACTAGTTTTCACAACTGTTCATTCAAATGCTTTCTTTTATCTCTTAATTGGTTGGCAAGAAGTATATATTCTTCTATAGTGAATGGTACTATTATAAATGTTTCCATTATAGATAGTACTTGTTTTAGTGTATTGACTAATCTCTGCTTTGATTATAGACATGAATTTTAAGAGCAGTCTGATTGGGTACCATGATGCACTGCTAAGAATTCTATCTTGATAGAGGAAAAATATCTGGTTTTTATCTTCCTTCTATAAATAATTGTTTTCTTGATATGTTGTAGCTTTTTAAAAATTATTTAGTCTTTATCAGAGTTTATCAGTTGCAACTTAAAGGGAAAGTCATTAAGAGAATAATGAGGAGCTTTTTAGCACTTTGATGAAACTCATGAGCCTTCTACTTCATTTCCTAAGTGAAAACTTGATATGGGATCCCTCTCTGTCATTCCTAGCCTTCTGCTTGTGAAGTCTTTGTATAGCATGGGGCTAGATCACATAACATTCTGAAGTTCAGATTGAGCATAGCTTGGATTGTTTTACATGTACACGTCTCCTGCTTGCACATCATAGGTCTTATCCATATTGAAAAACATCTACAAATAAAAATACAAAAATTCTTTATTATTCAAGGAAGAAATGACTGGGAGAGTGTTTGAAAAATTAGGACATCACGTATAATGACATTCAGTCTTAACCATGAGCATACTTTCTTTTATGATGTTATTTTTTTATTTACAAAATGTCATCAAGTGAACATATATTGCTTTGTATTACTGGTTTATTTCACATTTCTCTTTCTTTACTGCAGTTTATGAGTCAAAATTTTTCCACTGTCATATGACCTTCACTAAAAATTTCAACCAAAAACAAAATATACCATGACATTTTATGAATCTATTTAAATATAACATCCATAATTAGAAAAAATATATATAGATATATATTTACCAATCCTATAGTCTACTTTACATGCTGATAAAAAGGAAAGATTCGGATGAGGACAGCAAGGAGAAAGATATCAGACTTTTGAAGATTCTTGGATTATAGCTTCCTTCAAAATAAATATTGAAGTAGAAACGCAGTATAGATAAAGTATAGAACGTTTTGAAGTTATATTCAGGGATTTCAAATGACATTTTTACAAGATTAGCATGTACTTAGAATTTCATGTTCAGTGAAACAAAGAACTTAAAACATCATTCCCCATAGTATTGTTAATAAACATGCTAAATAACATTTTCAAGACTGGAAAGGAAAAAAATTAAAAATGTTTAAAACAGGGGGGCAACTAGGTGGTACAGTGGATAGAGCACTGGCCCTGAAGTCAGGAGGACCTGAGTTCAAATGCAGCCTCAGACCGTAACACTTACTAGCTGTATAACCCTGGACAGGTCCCTTAACCCCTATTGTCTCACAAAAAAAAAAATGTTTAAAACAGTAATAATAATGAAAAGCTATTTTCAGTCTCTTTGTTGTATTAAAAGTTTTAATATATTGGTTACACATAAAATGAAAAAAATTACTATTAATGTTTTTGATAATTCTTTATAACTATAAAATTTTTAAATCCATTTAACACCACCCACTTTTATTTCATATATAAGAGACTCAGAATATCATTTTCACTTGCTGCCTCACATTATTTGAATTAAAAGTAGTTCTCTTTGTGCTTTATATGTGTGGCATATTCAGTGTTACAACTTTGATCAGTTGTTTTGAAAGCCAGATTAAACAGGAAGAAATTTCATCAGAAAGAAGTGAGAGAACACGATCAATCTTAACTTCTTTTGGGGGATGTTGTCTTTGACTTGGAGGAAAAGGATGTGCCAGAAAAATTTTAGAAAAAGAAAAGACTAGCTAGGTTTATAACCTATTAAAGCAGTAGCTGATCAAAAATAGTAAATATCCTAGCTTTGAAGTAGTTCCAATAACAGTACTGAATGTACAGTGGAAATAATTAGTGTAATAAATTGATTCATGATGGTTAGAATCAGCATCGGCCTGATGAAACACACAGAATTTTGACAGTGCAAATACTGTATTGGTCAGTGCTCTGAAGATACAACATATATAGGAAAAAGGACCTATCTACCCACGGCAACTGTGTATTTGAGTAATATATTATGTAGAGTCTTAAGACTCAGTTCATAGCCTGCTTGCAATGGTCAACAAGGTTTGGTTTGATTTGAAATTGCATTTTGCTAAGTGATGGAGAGAAATTTTAAAGAACTTCTTTCCAGATTCATTTGTTGAGAGGGCAAAAATAGACATAATTATTCTGTTGTCAGAAAACCCAGCAAAGGAAGAAATTTAGAAGCTCCCCATAAAATGGGCAAAATAATTAATGTTTAATATTCTAGAGAATCCAAATTATCCAGTTTTCTCATATCGATTTTCTTTGCCTATGCTTATTCTTTCCATTTCTTTTTCTTGTCTTATTGTTACAGCAAGCATTTCTAGTACAATTTTGAATAGTAATGGTGATAATAAATATGCTTGCTTTACCCTTGATGTTATTGGAAAGGCCTTTCTAGCTTATCCCCCTTAAGAGCCATGCTGGCTCTTGGTTTTAAATAGATACTGTTTATCATTTTAAGGAACATTTTCTTTACTATGCTTTCTAGTGTTCTTAACAGTAATAGTTGTATTTTGTCAAAAGCTAGAATGAACAGTACTCAAAATAACATTTTGCTTTGTTGCTCAGCAGAGATTTATTTCAAAAAGGGAAGGCCCATACTGCAACTATTAGTTATTATATGCAAGAATCTACATTATCTTAATTAGAGAAAGATAGAATGACCTTTCTTTGGTTTCTATAAAATTAGAACATAAAATGAAGAAAGAAGAAGAGATAAAAAAGTAGAAGGAAAAGAAAGAGATAAAGACTGGATCTCCATATCTCACAGAAATACAGGGCCTTATCCCACTCTGATTGGTACAGGTTCTTTGACCTACTCCATTTCCTGTCTCAGCAGATTTGCCCCTCCTTAGGCAACCTGATGACCTCCTCCTTGAGTTTGAGAGATCCATCAGTCTTAGCTTCTCTCATGCATGAAATTATAGACACACACCGCCACACTTGACTTTTTGTAGCATATTTTCCCAGAAAATCACAAATACAATTGCAAGTCTAGAAAAGGTTGTCAGCAAAATTACACAAGAAAGCAATATTTTAAAAGTCCCTAAAACACTATTTTTCAATAAGGGTCCATTTATTCTTTGTTATAAGCATATATATAATTTGCCTTCTGAAATGTCATATTCTAAGCTTTCCACCCTTTTATTGTGGCTGATGAATCTTGTGTGATGCTCACTGTGATTTCTCAGTTCTTGAATTCTTTATTTTTGGCTACTTGAATATATAGTCTCCTTTACCTGAGAGCTCTGGATTTTGGCTATAATATTCCTGGGAGTTTTTATTTGATTGATTACTAGTGGATTCTTTCAATTCTACTTTATTCTTTGGTTCTAAGAGATGTAGGCACATTACTTTTATGATTTCACAAACATGTCTAGGCTTTTTTGTTCTTGGCTTTCAGTATTGTCTAATGATTCTTAAATAACCTCTCTTTGATCTGTTTTCCAGATCAGTTTTGTTTTTCTATGAGATATTTCACATTTTCTTCATTTTTTTCAGTCTTTTAACTTTTTTATTTATTAATGTCTCATGGAGTCATTAGGGTCTGTTATTCTAATTTTCAAGGGAGTTTTCATCTTTCTTTTTTAAAATCATACAGAAAATAAAGACTGAAATTAAATACGTAAAACATGGTATTATGTAACAACAAGCTACCACCATCATTCATAACCAATCTTAAAAATATATGTAAGCTTTCCAAAATACAGATGGAGGTATATTAAAGCTAAACCCCAAAATTAAGATTTCTGCTTACCTATTTGTACATTTTGTGAACTCTTAGGTCCATAAAGAATATTCTTAAGTTATCTATTACAAACTTTGTCTTATAGGTAAGGAACATAATTGAGGGAGGAGTGGTGGGCTTGTGATAAACTAATTAGGGAGGTTTTGACTCCTGTGGAAGGTTGATTTTGGGGCCATAAATAGAACCAAGGGTCTTTTGGTTTTGCATACTTGTACTTGCCAGGTTCTCTCTCTTTCTCTTAAATCTTCAGAGTTATCACTTAAAAAAAAAAAAAAAAGCAGAGCTCAGGGTCATTATTGGGATTTTGCAGATTTTTGAGATTTTTCTCCCAGAAGGAGATTGCTGATCAGCTAATGTAGTCTTTATTCTGCTGGTGAGGAATCAAAATTCCCTATTTATCTTTCATCACCAACCTCCTTTGAGAGATTTCCCAAGTAATAAGATCTCATTCTGTCTCCCATAACTGGGAGTTTGTGGTAACTTAAGGCAAGGTGGACGGTAACCTTAGGAAATATTTTCATTTGTGTACTGTGTAATTAATTACAAGTTGTAGTTACTTAATTCACTAAAGTATATTAGAGCACCTTTACTTGTGATATGTCCTGGCAACACTTTTAGTTATTAAGGTAAGTAATAAAAGTACATTTTTAAAAAGTATTGCATACTTTTCACAAAATTAGACTGGCCTTTTCCTTAAAATCATAGAAAGTTAGTGAGTATACACCTTACTGATTTAAATATGGATAAAGATATTATAGAACCTATGGTGATAAATGTCCACATTTGTTCCATGGTGCCAACTTGATAAATTATGTAGTTCACATGGGAACCTTGCAAAATATATTTGCTCAGAACTTCACTTAATTAACCACATGAAGAGTTATGTAATACTGGTTCCCTACAGAATCATTTTTTTTTAAATGCTGTGATCTACTTTTTCTAGAAGAGTTTAAAGTGTTTAGGAGTTTGTTTCCTATTTCTGAGATACTTGAGAAACACATATTTGGGGTTGCATTAGTATATTTGAAATGAAAACTTGCAGCTGTGGAGGACAAAAGGTAAAATGATTGAGGAAACAAAGGTTCACTCTTTTGAGCATAACATTTATTAAGCAGTGTATGACAATTGCCCAACAAATTGGGACCAGGCCTTCCTCAGTTTTGGCACTAGACCCTGAATACAGGGGAGACAGACTTTTATACATTAAAACCAATTAATCCAATAAGACCAATTAATTAAAAGAAAAACAATTAGCCAGGATATAAAGTTAGGTAATCTGATTTCTAATTGGAGGAAAGATGAGGGATTTTGCGAGTTGAGAGGGGAGACCAAACAGGTGCAATTCTCTGAAATCAGAAAAAGAGAGGTTCCACTTTCCCTGAGTGTCTATATTTAATCAAAGGAACAAGAAAACACTAACTCATTAACCAATTATGGGACCAGTTTTCACACAAGACATATGGGTTTATAGGTCTAACTGTGAAAAAACTCTTTTCATCAATCTTTGTATCTGACTGGATTTCTAGTCAGTATAACCAAGACCCTTAGTTAAAATCTGTAAGCAGTGGGTAGAAGTGGTCCATCTTCCCAGCCGTGAAGGGCTAGGTTCGAACCATGCAATAAGATTTTTCTCCCAATTCCCACAACTAAATAAAGTTTCCTCACAAGATAGAAATTGGACTAGACCCATAATTGAGTAGAAAGGGAACTGAGCTAGCTCCAGAATTGAGTCTCAAGATATGAAGTCAGTTGTGGTTTGCTCAGTTTCCGCAATTAACCACTTGCTGTCCTAATCCCCTCAATTCCTTCACAGATAATATTTTCACTCTTCTAAACCAAGAATTGATTTCTGCTATGTGTTATATATTTGACATAGGTCTAGGAAATGTCTGCTTTTTTTCCCTAACAGTTCTAGTGAGAGACTCAGTTCAAATCCATTAGCAGTTCAATAATATTTTACATTGTCTGATGTTCTTCAAAGTAATGAGAAAATTGAGTAAATCTAAATTTATAAAAATGGTTATAAAAATAAAGTTAAATCAGATTGGGCTAAAATTTATTGTTTTGTTACAGAGTAGTGATACACTGTTAGTGTTACCTACTATTATATCTTTAAATTATTACCTCAGGTTTCCATTATGTAGCTTGTAATTCATAATCATATATTTTTAAAAGTTCCTCTCACAGTTAATATTTTAAGCATTTTTAATGAATGTTTTCTCTGACAATTTTCTAAGCTTGAAAACAATTAAAGAATCTTTTTCGGAAATTGTTATGTCTTCAGTTAGAGATGCTATTTGTTTTGTTTGAAGTTTGATTTTCGTTATTTTTTTGGTACCCTTGCATATAGAGTATTTCTTTAATTGAATTGTGCTATTGGAAGAGAGGAGGATTGTTATTAAAATTATTCTTAGGAATCTTCATCATGGTGATAGGGATTGCTACTGAATGAGTGTCTGTGTATTCACATGAATCTACCTCTTTCTACTTCTTCTAACCAGTATAACTTAAGATTTGTAGAGCTTTTGAAATCAATCACTTTGTTAACATTGGCTCCTCTGACTTTTCCCCTGTTCCCTTTACAGAAGTTATCTGGCCCACCAAGGAGTGAAATTAGTTCTGGGACAGGAAAAGAACATTAAAGTTATAGCTGTTAGTGTATTAAAATGAATCAATAATAAATTTTGAACCTGAAGAAAACTTCCTGAGTTAAATTCCATTAGAAGGTGGATTGCTATAATTATCTCAGAATGCCACAGAATGAATTTTTCTGGGTGTTTCAGGGAAAACATGAAATGTCATTAGTTTTCCTTATGAATAAGATTTTGAAGAATTGAAATACTGTATATTGTTAATTTACTCTTCCATCCTTTAATATTTTTTTCTGAATAGTACAGTCATAATAAGCACAGTAACAATATATTTCTGTGTGTTTCATACATGTAGCCTCATTGACTTATCTATTCTACAATTACCAATCCATTTTTCATAAAAGTGATCTTCAGTGCCCTACCTTTCCTTAAACATCTTTTGAAGGTATATAATTTATTTAAAAGTCTGGACACTACCTGCTACGCCTTACTCCTCAGTGCCTCATCACAGCTTCCTCCACCTTCCATTTAATAACTAATCTAGACTTTTCCAACTCCCCTCCCCCTTTTGCTTCAGCCCAGTATTCCCTTTCCCCCCTTTCCTCTTCTTTCATGTCTCCCCAGTTGCCTTTGCAAAATGCAGAAGTTTTGTCTTTCAGAGTGGAAAAGCCACAGGCAGTGATTCAGGAGGTGTCATTGATCTTACATTGGATGATGAAGAAGTTGGTACTTCACAAGGTAAGTCGAAGTTTCGTTTTTCAAAGAATGTTTCACTTCAGTATTGGAGGGTTTTTTGGGTGGGGGTGCTTTTTTTGCTGGATAGTGGGGTTAAGTGACTTGCCCAGGGTCACACAGCTAGAAAGTATCAAGTGTCTGAGGCCGAATTTGAGCTCAGGTCCTCCTGACTCCAAAGCTGGTACTCTATCCACTGTGCCACCTAGCTGCGCCCTCAGTTTAGTAATGAACTAAAATAGTCTCTGGAGATAGATGTCTTGGAAATTTTTCATTTCAAAATTTTACATAATGAATGTGTTCTTGTTAGTGTTCTTAAAACCATTTGCCCAGAAGTGTTCTGATTCTTGACTTTCTAGCCACTTCCTCTTCAGTTATTAAAATATTGTATTGCATATAAGTTAACTTTCAATTGTGCCACCAGAACACTGACTCTACAGATATACAATTAGCAGTTTACATTAAAACAATACCTTTTTATCTTTAGCATGTCAGGATTATTAGGTGTTGTAATGTATCAATATCTGCTTATTTCCTCAGTTTTTTTTTCCCTTTTAAAAGACTGACTTATTCATCAATTTAGGTATTCTTTGGAAACCAGTTGTTCAAAAGTGAAAGTTTTTGCTGATTTTTCAACTACTACTTTAATGCAGTTTTGTTCTCTGATGAAAGATTGGAAGTCCTTACTATATGATGCATGGCTTAAATTGTTTTGTAAATTTTGACTATGTTTTAGAAGTGGCAAGTTAAATTATGTGTTATTTAAAAATCCATGAGGCGAGAACTTAACAAGCAAAACTTAATAAATATAATAGGCAGGAAGTACAGAATATAATGATAAAACACAGGAAGGGGTGCTTTTCTAGCATATCTTCCAATCTGGAAACTTCCTTTCCATTTGACAAATGTGTGCATATAAATATTCACGTAACAGCTGTGGCAGGTGAAAGGTAAAACGACTGAGGAAACAAAGGTTCACTCTTCTGAGCATAACATTTATTAAGCAGTGCATGACAATTGCCCAACAAATTGGGACCAGGCCTTCCTCAGCCTTGGCACTGGACTCTGAATACAGGGGGAGACAGATTTTTATACTTTAAAACCAATTAATTAAAAGAAAACAATTAGCCAGGATATAAAATTAAGTAATCTGATTTCTAATTGGAGGAAAGATTAAGGATTTTGAGGGGAAAGAGCAAACAGGTGCAGATTCTCTGAAATCAAAAAAAGAGAGGTCCCACTTCCCCTGAGTGTCTATATTTAATCAAAAGAACATGGAGACACTACCTGAGTAACCATTATGGGACCAGTTTTCTCACAAGACATATGGGTTGTATCTGACTGGATTTCTGGTCAGCATAACCAAGGCCCATAGTTAAACATCCCTAGGCAGTACGTAGAAGTGATCCAGCTTCCCAGCCATGCAGGGCTAGGTTCAAACTATGCAATAAGATTTTCTTCCAATTCCCACAATTAAATAAAGTTTCCCCACAAGACAGAAATTGGACTAGACCCATAATTGAGTAGAAAGGGAACTGGGCTAACTCCAGAATTGAGTGACAAGATATGGAGTCAATTGTGGTTCGCTCAATTCCCACAATTAATCATTTCCTTTCCTAATCCCCTCAGTTTCCTCACAACCCAATCCAAAAAGTATTTATTAAGTGCCTACTATGTGTTAGGCATTGAAGATGCTATATAAAGGCGCAAGATAACAATTAGTCTCCTTTCATGGATCTTACATTCAATACTAGATATATGCCTAAAGGCAACCTGTAACTTCATACTCAAGCTTTCCCAGTGGCCTATAAGCATCATTCTGTAAAGATAGGGGCATTCAAATTTATTTACTATTCATTATTACTCCCTGTGCTTATCAAACTCCCACCAGCTGTTACTCTCCCTATTCTTGTATTACTTAATCATTGGCTGCCTACAAATAAACTATATTTAGTCCCCACCTCCCATTCTCTCATCTTTATCTTCCTTAACCCTACCCCCCAAACCATATCCCACCTCAAATCTCTCCATCTCTTCCACAGTGTTTTCTAGAATTCCTATTTCAGAATTAATATATTTTCTTTCCTTCTGGACCTCTTTCATATACTACTTTTTCACTCCACCTAAAGCCAACTAAGTAACACAGTGGATAGAGTACTAGTCCTGGAGTCAGGAAGAACTGAGTTCAAGTCTGGCCTCAGGCAATTACTAACTATTGTCACCCTGGGCAAGTTACTTCTGTTTGCCTCAGTTTCTTCAGTTGTAAAATTAGGAAAAATAATAGCATCTACCTCACAGAGTTGTTGTGAGGATCAAATGAGATAGTATTTGGAAAGCACTAAGCACAGTGCCTGAACATACTGGGCACTTAATAAATGCTTCCTCCCTCCCTTGTTTTCCTCTCTTCCTTTCTCAGTTACACACAGGCTGGTTATACTCTGGATCTTACCATGCATTGCCCATTAATGTTTCATTTAATTAATCAAAAATTGACATTCCTCTGTGTGACCCTAACCTCCTATTATTCCAGCTCTCCCTAGGCCTTATTTTTCTCAAACCTACTCTTTCCCCTCATTGTAACCTCTTAAAATCCCTCCAGCTCTCAGTACTTTCTCAGGCCATTACCTCTGCTCTGATTTTACTTTCCTCCCTTCCCAAGCTCAACCCTATAGTTAATAATTCAATTCTGCGTTGTCCTCGTCTCTTAAATTTCTCACCCCCGTCCTGTTACTGCTCATTACTTGTCAAACTCCATCCTTCGGTTACTCCTTCCTGTTTGTTTCCTGCACTAAAGTGCCGCCCAACAGAGCTGGAGGAATTTACAGAATTATATTGATTGGGTAACACTGCCAGTATGGGTTACCTGTCATCAACTGGGCCTTCCCTACAGTAGTGTTGCTCTTTTCTTTCTCTCTCCCACCATCCCCCATTGATGATTGGTCTACAGAAGCTGTTCCAAACCTTACAGCTTCTCTTCATCTCAGAATTCCTTAACCTCATCCCCTCTTCACTCCTTCCACCTTTTCTCCAGTTTCTAGTAATGAGGTAGATCACACGTTCCCAAAGTGGGTGATACCACGCCCTGGGGGGTGGCGCTGGAATGATCCACAGGGATGGTAGTAGCCTCAGTTGCAATTGGTGGGGCTAAAAATAAGGGGGCGGTAGAAGCATAAGGAAAGAAGAAAAGATAAGAAAATTTTGAAAAACTGTTCGTACATGTTTCATCTGTTGTATAACAGTTAAAGTCGTAGTGATTGCATTATTTTCCAAATAAACACACAGAATGCAAGGTATAACCAATCAGCAGTGAAGTCCACCCACAGGTCTGAACAAGCAAGTGTTGGCAGGCAAGCATGTTGCACATTGTCAAGAAGTCCAACATGCATCGGCATTAATATGTGCATGTAATGACTTGTTTACAACATGATACTATACAGTTACATGACACAATACTGCATCATCAAAATTTCAATGCAGGAAAAACCCACAAATTTACAGTAAATAACTAAATTTAAAGTGCATCATTTTAAAAAAAAATTTTTAATGATGCAAATTAAAAAAAAAAAACCTTTGAAGGGTTAAAGAAAGTAGATTTCCAGGGGGCATGGGGTATTTTCTTTTTTAAAAGGGGTGGTAGGCCAGATAAGTTTGGGAACCTCTGAGGTAGATCAAAGTCTTCTCGCCAAAGCCAGTTTGCCTACATGGGCCCTCAATCCCGTCCCCTCTTGTCTTCTCCAACATACTGCAGCCTCAGTCATCCCCCATCTCTCTCAAATCTTCAACCTCTTCTTCCCTTTCTACCAGATTCCTACATTTCTGTTGAAGGCAGTGTTTTTCCTTCAGTGTTCCTCATCCTATATATCCATTCGCTTGCCAAATCTTGCCATTTCTACCTCCACGAATCTCTGACTTTGAGCTCCATCACTATTTCACACAGCCACCACCTCAGTTCTGACCTCGTCATCTCTTGTAGTAGTTGCCATAACACTTTTTGGTCTTTCTGCCTCAGGCCCCTCCCTGTTCTAGTCTGTTCTACTCCCCGCAGCTGTCCGAGTGATTTTAAAGTGCAACCCTGCTCTCTCCTATTACTTCTAAAATCTTATATAAACTCTTCTGTCTGACCTTTAATAACCTGCCCCAACCTTATCTGTATGGCTGATCTGCTTGTTCATAACTCCAGTTCTCACACTCGATAGTATCTGTCACAGTTGAATATTAGCACTTTCAGAGTAGGGATTGTTTCACTTTTTGTATTTGTATGCCCAGTGCCTCACCTTGTGCCTGGCACATAGTAGGTACATGGTAGATGCCTGTGTGCTTGCTTGCTTGATAACAGTTTGCTCCCCTCCCTCTTATAAATTCGGACGTTAGCACAGGATTAGAATCAAACAACTCAGTTATTCCTGAATTTTTTAGGTTAACTTGACTTTCAAAGTAACATGTCTTGTTTTTAGCTTCATAAAAATTTCAAGAAAGTGTGAGAGTTTTTGAGAGAATGCAAGCTGAGTTTATCCTGGGAATCTATCAGCCACTAAGGTTTCACCAGTGAGTAGTGTTTGCATTTATAACTTTGGGATCTGTGATAGGAAAAAGCCTTTATTTAAAAAACAAAACAGAGGCAACTAGGTGGCGCAGTGGATAGAGCACCAGCCCAGGAGTCAGGAGGATCTGAGTTCAAATCCGGCCTCAGACACTTGACACTTACTAGGTGTGTGACTCTGGGCAAGTCACTTAACCCCAATTGCCTCATATTTAAAAAAAAAACAAAAAACCCTCTTGATTAAATGTCATGCACTTGGAAAGAGCAGATAATTTTGGAAATCCCTGTATTTCAAATCATACCACATAGATTGCACCATATTTAGTTATAAGCTTGTGCCCTTCTTTCTGGGGCAGACAGATGATGACATGGATGGTGTACTGGAAGAGTTGGCTACCTCATTACAGGTATGTACCTAAAGAAAATGATTGATAAAGAAAACTAGAACCAGTGGCAATTAATGGTAAGCCTAAGCATATGATAAGAACATTGTAGGGGTTGCAGTATTCAGTTCTGTTTAATTCAACACATTTATCAACTTCCAGCCACGTAGGGATGCAAGGATAAAAACAAAAACAGCTTCTGCCCTCAAAGACCTTACTTATTCTACTAGAAGATATAAAGTATACGCAGATTAATAAGAGAGAAACACTACCATTGAGAGCAAAGGAGATTAGTAGAACCTTTATGTAGGAGGTGGCATCTGAGCTTGATCTTGGAAGGAAAGTAAGTTTTATGAGAGATACAGATGAGGAAGCATTGTATTGAATGAAGTATGAGGCATAACATACAAAGATATGGAGACAGGAGATGATGCTGAGTTCGGGAAATGTCTAGTAGGCCAGGCTAGCAGAACATTTGATCGCATGAAGGGGGAATAAAACAAAATGTCTGGAAATATAAGCTGGATCCAGATTGTGGAGAGTGTTCGCAGTGTAGACTGAGGAGTTTGTGTGTAGAGAAAATGTGGAGCTGCTGATGATTTTGAGTAGGAGACTGACATTATCAAACCTGTACCTTTACATGATCAAATATGTTGGAGAATGGAGGGACTGTTAGGAGGGACAGAAAGCTTTCACAGTAGTCTAGGTAATTATAGATTATAAGGGCCAGATAGAATAAGTAGAAGCAAGAGAATTGGCAAGATTTAGCATCGGCTTTTGAAGCTCAAGACGCTTGGGGAAGCTGTTAGCGACTGGAAATGTTAATTTCGTTTGTTAAAAAGGATTTTGTAGACATATTTAATTCAAAGCGAAGTTGTTGCAGTCATCATAATAGTTTTGATTCTTGGCTTTAACCTGAAGAGATAAAATTCACTCTCATACCTAAATGGAACTGTAGATTTTATTGTTTTAATCACATCACAGCTCAGTTTTCAGTTAAGTGAAGTGGAAGTCATAATTCAGTTAATACTTTCCTACTTATGGTTTGAAAACTATTGTTGACCTCTAGGAGGGAAATTAATTATTATATTCTCGTTCCCTTACTTACCTTTGTCCCTGCCTTCTGGTTTTCTGACAGTGAATAATCTTTCATTAACAGATCCAAAAAAACCAAGTCATGCCCCTGTGTCAGCAGTGAGTCAGTCTGCACAGCCTCTTCCTCGTCCATTACAACCCTTGCAGCCTGCCCCTTTGCAGCAGGCTGGGGTACCAACAAGTGGACCATCCCAAACGACCATACACCTGCTACCTACAGGTATTATTTGCTTAGTAGCTGTACTAAATTTTAATTGGATGAAATGAAATCTTGGGGTTTGTTTTTGTTTGTTTGTTTGTTTTTAGGGAATTTGAAGTCATCTTGGAGAGGGATGTGACCTATGGGGAATAAACAGAAAGTTGAAAAGAATGAGGTAGTCAGCATTACATTTGATTAGTATCTATCTTTTGGGAAGTAACAGAGCTTCGATTCACCATAAATGCACAAATCTGCATGAATCAAGCACCTTATTCTCACAGCCAGAGGTAAAGGTAGCTAACAGAACTATATGCATGGCCCCTCAAGTCTGTACATTTTCGCTTTTTTCCTGGTAACTTAATGAATCAAAAGTAGGTTCTCCACCAAACATTGGTTTAAAGAAGTTGTAGGTATAACTAGAACATGCCAGGTAATTAAACAAAAAGTTTATATGAGTATGAGATCTACTATCCACGTGTAAAACTGGTCTTGATGCTGTACTTTCCCCAAAGGAGGTGTTCACTAATGCCAAACATACTTCATCTCCAGAAACTTTAACTTAACTCAGGATTTTGAGATATTCACCTGCCTACTCAGAACTGAATGAAAGCTAGCCAAGAAGAGAGCATTTCCTTTGTGATCCTGCTACAATAGATTGTGTGCTGACATGAGATTGTAACTTGAGTTTTTATCAGCTTTAATTTCTTTTGTTTAACACTACCTTCATTTCCAAATATATCTTCTCTATTCTCCCCTTAAAACCAGAAATAAAAACAAAGAATAAGGAGAAGAATAAAAAAGCAGTTCAGTAAAACTAAACAACATATCAAATATGTGTGTTGAGTGTTTGGTACCCATAGTCCCCAGCTCTACAAGTAAAGAAAAGAGGTTCATTTTCTGGAGGTTTACTTTCATTTGTGGTCATCAGCACCAACACAAGGAATGTGACTTTTATCAGCTATTAGTTATTCCTGACTATTCTAAATTGCCAAGTTTTTATGAAATAATCTATATTTAATGGCTGAATTTACTTTTGTCAGACAAGACAAAAATTACATTTCTCTTAAATTCACTTGTAGCTCAGTGTTTTTGTTTGCGTTTATGTGATACAATAGTTATTCAGCCATGCCTGAGGGTAAGAACCTTGCGCTTATTATGTTTATCCACTCTTCTTTTGCCATCACAGTGCTTTACAAAAGCAGTAGGGGCCTACCATAAGTAAGTGCTTTAATAAAGGGTCAAATGAATGATTATTTATCTTTATGTAGTAGGTTCTGCTGAAATAGCAAAAATTCTGAGGTTTTTTTCTTTTTTCTTTTTTTTTTTGGCTAGGCAGTGGGGTTAAGTGATTTGCTCAGGGTCACAGCTAGTAAGTGTCAAGTGTCTGAGGTCAGATTTGGACTCAGGTCCTCCCAACTCCAGGGGCAGTGCTCTATCCACTGGGCCACCTAGCTGCCTCTTGGGGTTTCTTGGTAACAGATCCTTAGCTGCTTTCCTTTTTGTTATGTGTCAGTTTTTATTGAATTTAAGCTTTTTTTTCTTCTTTAATCCTTCTTTTGCTATTAGAGGGACTGTTAATCAGGGAACAACACAGTGAAGAGGTGGAAGAAAGAGGGATGTTATTAGTGAGAATAAGAGATTCAGTGTAGCTACCATTTAAAGAATGAAATGGAGATGAAGCAGAGAGGTTAAAGGAAAGGAGAAAAGGTTGAAGTTACTAGGTGTCTTGGGCTTTGGGGTGAAAAATCCACTTGTTCAAGATAAAAGGTAAACTAGGGTAGCAAAGAGAAAGGAAATCAACCACATCTTTTTTTAAACTTGGTTAGTGGAGGTATCAAGACTTCTAGTTATTGTGTCCTTGCTGAAGAGCTCTTAGCCTAAATCTAACGAGGTGGGAAACAAGCCTTCATGGACCTCTCCTACTAATAAAGAGTTATTTGTACAATTGTTGAATGGGGTTTGCTATTCTTTTATTTCTTTCCAAGTATTGAACCCTTTTCCCTTTTCTCTTTACATTATCCTATGTTCTTCCTTCTTCTAAAACGGAGAATAGGGAAGATACTGAGCTTGGAATTTCTCTGTGACGTTATATATGACCCAACGGCATAAGATATGATATTTCATGAATTTTGGTTTATCTCAGGCATTCTTGCATTATGTGTTTTGTTTAAGTATTTGACGTTTATCAAATTTATCTGTGCTCTCATTTTTAATGCTAGTAAGTTAGTTTTCAGACCAAGAGTGTTGGCTTTTATTCTGTTTGTACAACATAAAAATGCTATCATCATTTAATAGTAAAACCTTTTTGTTTGTTTGTTTGTTGCATTCTTGTTAATGTCTTTTTCCATTTCCTGTCAGCTCCAACCACGGTGAATGTAACACACCGGCCAATGACTCAGGCTACTACCAGACTCCCTGTTCCAAGAGTTCCTACTAATCACCAAGTGGTTTATACCACTCTTCCTGCACCACCAGCCCAAGCTCCAGTCAGAGGAGCAGTTTTGCAAAACTCTGCTGTACCTATACGACAGGTCAACCCTCCAAATGGTAAGGGACACTGTTTAAAATGGTTACAGATACTTAACTGGTGTTTAGAAAAGAATACCATGTTTAGAAATGAAACAGCAAGGCAGCTAGGTAGTTCAGTGGATGGAGCACTGGCCCTGAAGTCAGGAGGACCTGAACTCAAATCTGGCCTCAGACACTTGACACTTACTAGCTGTGTGACCCTGGGCAAGTCACTTAACCCCAATTGCCTCACCAAAAAGCAACAACAACAAAAAAAAAGGCAAAAAAGAAAAGAAATGAAACAGCAAAATTGCGTCCAGTTTTATTTTTAAAGACTATTAAAATTACGTTTTCATTTCAACAGGGAACTAAACTACAGGAAATTTTGTCTTTTACATTATTTGCATTATTTGTCTTGTTGATTCAACCACAAAATTAAAATTTAAGTGTCCATTATTTATCCTAAAAATATACTTATTCATACCTGACTCTCTGTCAGAGATCATTCTTGCTAAAAGTAAGTATCTTTTCTTTCTCCACATTCCACAATCCAAAGCCCACATCTCCAGAAGATACACAGTTGTGGTGGGTAGGAGACAGTCTCTGATAAGATGTAGGATATTTTTTAGTCTTAGGAGAGGAATAGTAAGTGAGAAAGAAGGAGACATAGAAAAAGACTTAGGTAGCCATATTACATTTTAAGACTTAATTGATTCCCAGGGTAGGGAAAAAAGAAACAAGAACCAACTCAGGTTCCCTGAGCAAAGGTTTGGGATTGCTTCACAATATTAGGCTTTTTCTAACTAAATAATAAAGAAATTCTCCTTAATACTTTTCATTTCCTCCTCCCCTTTTCTCCTTATTTTTGTTTTTCACTGGATAGGAAATGAAGGGTTATGTGTTTCTGATTCATTGGTGAGACATTGATTTAGGACTAAAACTTTGTTTTAGAAACAAAGAATTAATCAGGTTGGAAGGGGCTTCATAGACCATCTAGCCATACTCATACCTGAACAAGAATCCATCCCCTCTATAACGTTCCTGACTGTATTTGTTTAATAGACTTCCTAGTATAATCTGCTCTATTTTTTTAAATCATTCTGTTAGTAAGTTTTTTTCTTATATCAAGACTAATATGCCCCTCTGCAAGTTCTACCCATTGCTCCTAGTTCCCCTCTCTGGTCATCTGGTGAGCAAATCTAGTCCATCTTCCATGTAACAGTACATTAAATACTTGAAGACTACTCTCATGTCTCCTCCTAGATCTTCTGTTCTCCTATCCACATATGACTTGGACTTGAGACTTCTCATCATCCAGATTTCCTTCCTCTGGGTGCTGTATACATTTATAGCTAATTAATGTTCTTTCTCAAGTGGGATGCTCAAAACTAAACAAACTACTTAAGGAAAGCCCGGAGCAGGGCACAACAGTATACTCGCCTGCCTAGTCTCAGCTACTTTTCCTCTCTTAGTGGATCCCAAGGTTACATTACCTTGGGTGCCATATCACACTGTTCACTTACTGAGATTACAGGTCCAATAAAACTCTAAGGATAAATGTTTTTCTAAGTATACTTTCCCAATCTTGTATTTGTAAAGTTAATTTTTAAAATTCAATCCTGAGAGTTTACATTTATCCTTATGAAGTTTCATTTAATTTGTTCTTACATCCTTTTGGGTCTTTACTTTGTTAAAGTGTATTTACTGTTCCTTACAGCTTTATGTCATCTGAAAATTTGAGAAACATGCCACAGATCCCTTTATCCAGGTGTGGTGTTTTACAACTGGTTAAAAAAAAAATCAACTTACAAGATGGGAAGCTAGGTAGCAAACCATCCAAAAAGATTTTTAATGGACTCAGTATTCAGACAAATACTCAATATGACTTAGCTGAGTGATATGACAGCCAGGAAAGCTTATGTGCTCTTTGATCAGTATAGTGCCCAGGACTAGGGAGGTGATAATAGTCCTGTTCTCCTCTACCCTGGTCACACTCCACCTAGAGCAAGATTTCTTAACTAATTTTGTGTAGTGGACCCCTTTGGCATGTGGTGAATTTCACAGATCTCAGGTTAAGAATCACTCACCTGGGGTATTATTTCAGATCTAGGGACTTGTTCAGTTGTCCAGTCGTGTCTGACTCTCCGTGATCCCATGGACTATAGCATGTCAGGCCCTTCTGTCCTCCACTGTCTCTTAAAGTCTGTCCCAAGTTCATGTTTGTTGTTTCCTTGAAACCTATCCATCTCATTCTCTGCAGTTCCCTTTTCCTTTTGCCTTAAATCTTTCCCAACATTAGGCTCTTTTCTAATGAGTCCTGTGTTCTCATTACGTGGCCAGAGTATGTAAGCTTCTGCTTCAGTATTGGACTTCCACTGAATAACCTGAATTAATTTCTTTAAGTATTGACTGATTTGATGTCCTTGCTGTCCAAGGGACTCTCAAAAGTTTTCTCTAGCACTACAGTTTGAAAGCGCTAGTTCTGTGGTGCTCAGCTTTCCTTGTAGTTCAACTTTCACAACCACACATTGCTAATAGAAAAACTATAACTTTGACTAGTATGGCCCTTTGTCAGCAAAGTGATGTGTCTGTTTTTTAGTATCGTTTCCGGATTTGCTTTCCTTCCTAGCAGCAAGTGTCTTTTATTTCATGGCTGCAGTCACTGTCTGCAGTGATCTTTGAGACCAAAAATATAAAATCTGACACTGCTTCCATTTTTCTCCCTCCATTGCCCAGAAAATGGTGGAACCAGTTGCCAAGATCTCAGTTTTTGGTTTGTTGTTGTTGTTGTTGTTATTGGGTTTTTTTTGTTTTGTTTTGTTTTGTTTTGTTTTTATGTTGAGCTTCAAGCCAGCTTTTATACTCTCCTCTTTCACCCTCACCAAGAGGCTTCTTAATTCTGCTTCACTTTCTGCCATCAGAGTGGTATCATTGACATATCTGAGATTGACATTTCTCTAGGCAACCTTAATTCCAGCTTTTGATTTGTCCAACCTGGCATTTTCATGGATGTACTCTGTATATAAGTTATGAGGTGACAATATGCACTCCTTTTCCAGTCTTAAACCAATCAGTTGTTTCATGTTTAGTTCTTCCTGTTGCTTCTTGGCCTGCATACAGGTTTCTCAGCAGACAAGTAAGATGATCTGGGGACTGCATCTGGTCAATTCACCTTTCTGGGCTTTTCCTTAACCTGTAAAATGTATGAGTTGGAGTTGATGGTCTCTAAGGCTCCTTCTCATTCTGAGTATTTGAAAAGTTTTTACGTGGAAGAGGAATTGAATTTGTTCTTGGTCCCAGAGGGCAAAACTAACAAGAGATGTCTAGAAATTGTAAAAAGACAGATTTAGGCTTGATGTGAGGAAAAAAAAACAAACAACTTAATAGTAGGGCTATCCAAAAGTGAAATGGATTACTTTAAGAGGTCATGCCTTCCCTTTCACTACAGATTTTTAAATAAAAGCTGGATGACCACTACTAGTCAGATGTGATATAGAAGGACTCTTTTTCATGTATAGGTTTAGCTGCAAGGCCTCTGAAGTTCCTTTTAAGGATTCTATAAATATGTAAGGAATGAAAGCATTTTCAGCCTCATTATTTTCTCTGGCTTTTAAAAAATACTTGACAAATTAAAATTTAGTGTGTTTTGTTGACTTCACATTTATTCAATTATTTAATTAATCAGAGTTCCACTGAAATTAGAATAGATTGGTGATTATGCATTTTTTCTTTCTTTTGGTGTAGGGGTCACAGTGCGAGTGCCTCAAGCAGCTACATACGTTGTAAATAATGGACTAACCCTTGGATCAGCAGGGCCTCAGCTAACAGTGCATCACCGACCCCCACAGGTGCATCCTGTAAGTAATTTCTTGACATTACTAGACCATTAACTATACGAATGATAAGTTTAGCTGTACAAAGCATTTGTTTCTTAGACATTGTTATATTGAAGCATATATGAAGAGAGAAGCATATTTTGCCTCACATCTAGTTGTAACTTATTAGAACTATTTTTTTTTCCAATGGATATTGAACTATAGAGATCATAGAGATCAGTTTTGATCATTTGACTTTACTGTATGAGGAAAAAATTCAATTAGTGGTGAAGATGAAATACTTTGAGTGACACAAAGAAGCTTAAGATTCTGTAGGATTCCATTCTCATCTTCTATTCGCAAATCCTAAGGCCTGACTTATGCCCTTGACAGTTTTTTTTTTTAATGCCACTGAACTGAATTTGGTTCTTCACTGATTACTTTAGGTTGCAGTAGAAAGCCATTTTTCCTTTCACATTTGTCTTGTTCTTTGGAAACAGCACATGATTCCTCTTTAGTGTTCGATGGTTTGTTTATATTTAAGGAATTTACCATTACATACTATTTAGAGAATACTATGTACTAGGTAGCTCGGGGAAAAATAGAATAGCCACATTGATACAGTAGATAAGAGTTTATCAGGCAATTATTAAATGTTTACTCTATGCCACGCACTATGCTAGGCACTAGAAACATAAATACAAATAATAAAATAATCTATCCACAATGAACTTAGAAAAGTATCTATGTTATGTATATACAGAGTAAATATAAAGAGAATAAATACAAGGCAGTTTGGGAGGGAGGACACTAGCCTAGCAGAAGGGAGGATCAAGAAAGGCTTCATGTAGAAGTTGGTGCTTGAACTATGTCTTAAATAAAGAGAAGGATTCTATGAAGAGAGAGTACATCCCTGGCATGGGGGATGGGAGGGAGTCGGCCAGTGCAAGGTCTAAAGACAGATGGAGTCCTGTGTGTCAAGCTGTACCTTAGCATGTAAGAAGAGAAATAAAGTTAAGAGATAGACAAGGGCTGGGTTGAGAAGAGCTTGATTTCATGTTTGATCTTAGAGGCAATAGGGAGCTACTAGAGTTTTATGGATTAGGAAAGCAACTTGTTCAGATTCTCGACTTAAGGAAAATCATGTTGGTAGTTGTGTGGAGAATTAACTAGAGCTGGAGAGAGATGTAAGAAAGGTAGATAGACCAATTAGAAGGCTCTTGCAATAAGCCGGACAAGAGGTAATGAGGGCTTGAACTAATGTAGCTCAACTGTGAGAGATATTTTGGCAACTGAGTAGATACATGGAGTGAGGGAGAGTGAGGAATTAAGATGGCATGTAGGTTAATAACCTTGGAGACTGGAAGAATGGTGGTGCCTTTAACAGGAAATAGGAAAAAAAAACCAGGAAATAGGGAATTTTAAGAGAGTAGAACATTTGGAAGGAATGATCTGTGTCATTGCATGAAGATATAATTAAACCCAGTGGAGCTAATGAGTAACTATGTATATGCAGGATAAATTATAGCTAATCAACAAAGAGAAGGCACGAGCATCAAGTGGGATTAGGAAAAGCTTCTTACGGAAGATGAGATTTTAGGTGGGACTTGAAGAATTCCAGGCATGGGAGATAATCAGGGAAAATACCTAGTCAGGATCTGAAGTGTCTTGTGCAAGGAATAGCAAGTGTCATTGGATAGTAGACTTCACAGAGAGGAGTAAAGTATAGGAAGACTGAAAAGGCAAGGAGGGGCAAAATTATGAAGGCATTTAAAAACCAGAGCATTTTAAATTTGATCCTGGAAGTGATAGAAAGCCACTGGAGTTTATGGGGGGGGGCAGAGGGGAGGAGTAGTGACATTGGTCAGACCAGTCCTTTTTAGGAAGATCACTTTGACATCTGAATGGACTGTAGTGGGGAGAGACTCAAGACAGGCAGACCCACCAGCAGGCTGTTGAAGCAGTCTAGGTAGGCATGAGGTGATAAGGGCGGGCACCAGGGTGGTAGCAGTGTTGGAGGAGAGAAGGAGTTGTTTATGAGAGATCTTAGGAGGGCCGAATTGATAAGACTTGATAACTGATAGTGAAGGGTTTTTTTAGGGATGGGGGAGACTTGGGCATGTGTGAAGGCAGCAGATAAAGAACCAGTAAGTAGGGGAAAGTTGGAGATTCCAAAGAGAGGATATGGGGATTGAGGTTACAACCTGCTGGAGAAAGCAAGAAGGAATAGCCAAAATGGTTATACTGGTATCCTTGACACACAAAACAGAGAAAAGCATCCAGCTTATTGGGTAAACAGGGAATCGATATCATAAAGGATCATAAGGGTCAAGGAGAGGTATTGTGCTCTGTGTTAGTGGAGGGAATAGCAATGCTGATGTTTTAGATAATTCAGAATATCAGAATAAGGTATACTTGTATTGAAGTGTGTAATTAAGTTAATTTACTCATTTGTAAAATGAGTAGGTTTGTAGGATCAAAGATTAGAGCTGGAAGGGTGGGCCCTCACATCTATCTAGTTCAACCTCCTTGTTTTATGAATTAGCATCTTGAAGCCCTGTGATGTTTAGTGACTTGTCTAAGGTCATTACTCTGTCTGAGGCAGTATTTTAACCCAGGTCTTCTGGCTCCAGAGTGAGTGTTCTTTCTGCTGTAATAATGCTGCTTCTAAAGTGATACTAGGTAGACCATGTTAGACTCGTTGATCTCTCAGCTGCATTCCAATTCTGAAAATGTGAACCTGAGCTTTTTCTTTGGTTATCGCAACTGTAATCTTGTCTCGTGTTTTCTTTTGTCTTTTAGGAGCCAGCTCGCCCTGTGCATCCAGCACCCCTACCAGAAGCCCCTCAACCACAACGTCTGCCCCCAGAAGCTGCCAGTACTTCCCTTCCTCAGAAGCCACACTTGAAATTAGCTCGGGTACAAAGCCAGAATGGCATCGTGCTGTCATGGAGTGTCCTGGAAGTGGACCGTAGTTGTGCCAGCGTAGATAGCTACCACCTCTATGCTTACCATGAGGATCCCAGTGCCACAATGCCATCACAGTGGAAGAAAATTGGGGAGGTAAAAGCACTTCCTCTGCCTATGGCATGTACTCTCACTCAGTTTGTTTCTGGCAGCAAATACTACTTTGCTGTCCGAGCCAAGGACATTTATGGACGTTTTGGACCTTTTTGTGATCCCCAATCAACGGATGTGATCTCTTCCCAGAGCAGTTAAACGTTCGGAGCCTTTACATCTGTCTCTCTTTTAAGAGTTCCATTTTTTTTTTTTTGTCTTGTTTTTAATCTTGTGCATGATATTCACTGTAAAATCCACATTCTGCAAGATTTCTTGGACAGATGTGTGTAATACACTACATACATTTATATCCAGAAGTAAAATAAACTCTCAGTCCACAAAGCAAGAACTATTTTCCTGGACATTTCAAGCTTCAGGATTTTGAAGTATAAATGTGCACCTTCCTTTTAGTGTTGAGATTTGGGGGACATTTTGTGTGTGCGCGCATGTGTGTGTGCACACGCGCACATGTGTGTATGTTTCTTTCCTATTTGTTTGTTTGATTCATTGCAGCAGTTGCTCCTCTTTACATCCTCAAATTTACCTCTGTTCCAGTATAGAGTGTAAAGGTCAAGGAGAAAATAGCATGAACAGTTAGGATTTTGCTCCTTAATGAGGGTGGGTTCGTACTTTGCACTACATAAGTGAAGCTAAACATAACCCAAAGAAACAATCAAACAAAAAGCACATGTGAACTAATTTTCCAGTAGGCTAATTCAAACATAGACATAGATTTCTTCATATTTTTCTTAACTTGGGTTCCTTTCCTAGTCTCTGCTTAAGGTTTGACTGGGGAAAAAAGAATATTTTTCTTCTGAACTACTCACTCTCTGCCCTAAGGATATGTTCTCAAAATGCAAACATCGATGAAGGAAAAGGACATTAATTCTGGTCAGTTTTAGTGAAAGTACATAGTAAAGATAAAAAGACTCCTGCTTGAATCTGAGAACATCTCTAGGCCATTTAATATCTGCTTAATTAACAATCCCTCTCTGTCCTTCCCATCTCTCTTACCAATTCTTTTAAATTTATTTTGTGCCTTAAAGATTAACTGTAAAAACCAACATGGCCATATCTCCATTGCTGTTTACTTTTTTCCCTTTGAAATTTTCATTTTATATCTTCATTTTTCCCCTAACTTCAAAATAGGATTTTTTTTTCTATGACAAGGTTTTGGGGTTAGGGGAAACAAAACCTTAGGCTCTTTTATGATTCTTATCCCATGGTATCATTAGGTCTACTCAAAATTCGTGAATAAGCTATCTGTCTTCCCTCTCCCTCCTTATAATATATCCAGAATTTTGATTGTTACTACCAGTTTAGCTGACTGCATGCAGTGTGTGGACTGAAATTTTACCTGGTTTTATTTTAAAAGCATCATCCTCAAGACATCTTTTTGCATCGACATTGCCTACTTGCAACAAAGATTAACAAGGCAATTCTGGCTTACTGTTACCATAAATTTTTAATATTCTCTTAGTTTTAGAGTAGCAAAATCATTTCCAATAACTAAGACCCAAGGTAAAGTTTAAAGTTAGCTTTATAAACTTGTTAAACTTACTATCTCAATGGTTTAGAGCAACCTGTGTGCTATTTTAAAATAAATCAAGTGGAGAATGGTTCACATCTTTTCTCACATCATTCTTATAGACCTGTTCTAAGCGGTCATGCAAATAAAGATTTTTTTATCTTTTGATGGTGCCAAGGTAACAGTTAGAACTGCCCTCATAAAATTTTACATACGCTTTGTTCAGAATTAAAGGTGTATCTTTTGGTATTGTTTTATTTAGCATACTTTTATTTAAACTCCTGGGAATCATAATTTAGCTCCAAGGAATACAGCCTTAGATCATGATTTATTTGTTTTTTAAATGTTAACCATATTGGTATTCAACAGGTATTGGGAATAGATATGTTGGTGGGGATGGAGGGTTGGAATAAGTTGGAAGAGGTAGGAGAGGGTTATAAAAGACTTACTTAGTCTGTGAAATAACTTTCTAAATTTGCTATGTTGGTGGCTTTATTCCTGCCATCTCATTTTCAAAAATCTAATTCTGAGATTTATAACTTTTCTTAAAGCATAGGAGAGGGCTAACTTTGCTCTCCTCCTGTCTTTTTTTGTATATCTTTAATGGTTTGTAGTTGGGCCTGTAAAGAAATTATCTTCTGAGAGAGTTCACATTTAATGTAACCTGTTAGCGTGAACAATATAGGCTTGGTGCTGAACAAAGCCTTTCTGACTACTGATTGCCAATAATGTAATGCTCTGATGCCTTCCTTTCACTTTCAAGGAATAAGACTAAATGAGAATTAGGATTGTAATAAAGCCAATTGGTTCTTTTATTGTTTTTATAGTGAGTATGCATAGAGCCAGTTCTTGCCAACTATGGGCCTTGTAGTCATTCTAGAACATTTTTCAGGGTGACAGTAAAGCAGTTGCCAGTGTCACACCACAGAACATTGGGGTAGAAATTTCATTTGGAAGAGATGTCCTATTTTATATATGTATATAAACATATACATACTTCTACATGTATATATAAAAATTTTTAACAATCAAAAAGAGTTTCTTATGTTTTCATGATGATTCTTGACTACAGCATGCCCATCTTTGACAATGTTCATTATTGGCTTGTTTAATGGTTATGTGACACCCACCTATTTGCTGACTTTGCCAGGAAAAATATGTTGCCTGGAGTGATCAGTATGACTTTACATTTATTAACACTAATTTTTATGACAAAAGCCTTCCTAGTATGAAGACATAGAAGTCAGGTAGCAAAGCCAAGCAAGTGAAAATAGATTTCCTTATTTAGCCTGTTTTCCCATTGTGTGTTTTGTCAAAGGAAAACAATAGGAAATCTCAAATAGTAATCCTGAAAATTACTTTGTAAAATTTTGTTTCCCTTAATAAAATAAGGCAAAAATAATACTCTGAGCTTTTTCTTGTTCCAAACAGTGGAAGGAAGTTGCAAAGAGAATTGCAATAATTTGGAGATGGCAAATTATGGACTTTCAGTCCTCATGTAGAACAATATTCAATATGTGTAATTTTATTGTTTTAGTTATTAATGGTCTGATTACAAGTGTTTAGACATAACCAGTGGATTGATAGTACATTTAAGTCTATTAACTGCAGCCATCCCTCAAACTAGTACCCCTATGGGGTCTGAAGGCAGCAGCTGATTGAATGTGCAAAAAGGGGTCAAGGCTAAAACTTAAAGCACTTCTCATTCTTGGCTAGTGTCACTTTGAGAGTTTGGGCTTTTGATGTTACTTTTAGGGAAAAGCTGAGATCACAAATAACTAGAAGTAGCCACTTTGAACAGTTCTGCTCTGGTTAAGAGTTACACTCCATGATACCTCTTTACTCCATGGTACCTTTTCACAGAGTATTATAAGCTGGATTTTCACATTATGGGAATGCAAGCTTGCTATGTTTTTAGTATGGCACTCTCTCTCTAAGTGTTGCCCTGTTGGAAATCTTGAGAATTTTAAGGATTTTTAACTTGAAATGTAGTAACAATTTAGTTGACTTTTGAAGTGGCAGTGCTGTTTTTGTTTTGTTTTGTTTTTTCAATTTTTGTACTTTGTCAAATTAATGGTTCACCCTGTTTTAAGTGTGATTATTCCTTTCAGAAATTTTGTTCTTGCCAGTAAATATGTAAATGGAACATGGACTCCACCTAATCATAAATATAACTTTAACCCTCCTTCATTTCTCAATATGAAGAATACTGTGATACTTTCCCAAAAACTTGTTTGTGGTGGAGTTGTGGCAAATAGTTTCCTTTCTGTTGGAAGCTGACTGTTCACTGGGAGTGACCCTTTCTTTTCCTCACTCATTTTTTCCCTTTTTATGATAGCTGGTAATAAGTACCTCTGAAGAAACCTCCTAAAACAAGGAACTTGAGATAATTTGCAATCTTAGGGTACATAATGTCCTTTATACAAAGCTACTCCAAAAGTGGCTTGATTGCTTTGTACAATTTTCTCAATTCTGTTAAGTGTTAACTTCGTTTTTGATTTTTAATTTCTGTAATTTACAATGGAAAAGGCAAATTATAGCAAGTCCTACCTACTACCATTTATGTAGTGTTAGTAGTACTGCATGATCTTTATAATGTGCTCTTCATCTTTGGTCTCTGAAAGTTTTCCAGTACTGTACAAAATTGAGAGAGAAAAGTAATGCCTGTGGTGTCCTTCACCTTCTCTGCACACTGTGATCCTTACACAGAATTATTGCAAACCTCCAAGTGTTCTCTTCCCAGCTTCCCTTCTCCTTGGGCCATTTCTGTCACTATCCTGTGATTTCTCATTATGATGCAGATCTGTGTGTGAACCTAGTTTTGCTCTAATTCCCAAAATAACCATGTCCCAGTATTAGATAGATAACTGCAAATAACACTATCCAAAAGCAAGCTATGAACCTGCCTTCCTAAGTATTTACATTTAGGAAACTGTAAAGTCTTTTTATCTTTTAGTGGGGTGTTGGGGTAAATACAAGTGTTGGCAACTTAAAGGAGTTCAGATGAGGTTGTTAGTATGACAGCCATATTTGTTAATCAATATTCATCCCCTTGAGCCAGCAGATGGGGAGTCTAAGTGCTACAAAAATGAACTCAAGAACAGAAATGAAATGTTTTGTCTTTTCATTTTCAAATTACTTTGTCATTATCATGTTAAAATCAGTTTCTTCTTGTTTCTCTTTTGTTGTATATGTAGGCTGAGTACTTACTTTTTCTATTTAAATGCTGTCTGGTTTTAAAGAGTTTTGTTTGTAAATAAAGTTTCTGAGCTACCATCCTACATTTGGGGATCCAGGCTTTAGTAATTTATCAGCCATTTAAAAATTAAATATAAGAATAAATACTTTGTAGGAAACTTGGAGCCTGATTTTTTTCTTTTTTTTCTTTTTTTGCAGCTGAAGGTGTAAATAATATAAGATAATGTAGGACCTACCCAAAGCCCACTGTACATTGGGCTTCTGCAAGCTGTCCCTATTTTTATTAGGTTTTGGGATTTTTTTGTTTTGTTTTTGTATGTTTGATAGATTAGTGTCTGTACAAGTGTTATCTGTAGTGGGGTTTTGTCCAACAAGCCCGAAATTTATACTTTGAAATAAACTACTGGGTTTTTAACATTGAGTTCTCTGTGATTGGTTCTGGTTGTCCTGGGCTATTGAGTTGCTTGCTTTTGAAAATAATCACTTTATAAGGATCATATTTGTTCATTGCACTGTGCCCTGCCTCCATTCTTCACTGGTACAAGTAACTCAGTAAGTGCCTTTCGTCCACTGCATAACTTGACAATTTAAGAATTGATGCCCTACTTCAGCCTTTAAAAAGTAATTTATAATAAAGACCAAAATGGTACAGACTGACCACCAGAAAGAAACTTGGCTGATAGCTCACACAACCTCTTGATAGATTAGAGTTCTCTTTTACCAAACAATTCATTTGCTAGAAATTCTTTCGTGGCAAATAGAATTAGTGTCTGGATTTCAAATATGTTTCTAGAAAGTTTGTGTGATTAGACAAATTTTAGTGAACAAGTGACTTTTAGGACCATACTTTGATAAATCCTTGATCTTGTGTGATTCTTGTCCATGTGCTTGTCCATGACCATGTCCTCAACAGGCCATGTAGTATATGGAAGAATCACGTATTCTAAGTAAAGAGGGGCCTGGGTTCAAATCCCATGAGCTGTATGATCATGGGTCTCTGAACCACTCTAAGCCACTTCAACTTCCTTTTCTGTGGAATGAACTCTAATCTAATGGAATCTAATTTGCATTTAGCTAACTTAATTAATATAATAGGATCTCTATCCAGTGATTGTTTTCACTTGGTTGTAACTAGGATCCAATAACAGATGAAACACCATCAGCCTTAAAGAACCGTCGTTTGATTTTCCATAGAGTCCGTGTCCTAGAAGCCTTTCCCTAGCTTCATCTTCTAAATTAAGGATGCCAGCGTGTGGTCCTTTTGTTTGTTGTCTCATCCCCAGCTAGACATAGTGTGCTACGGTGGAAAGGGCTGGCTCTGATGGCAAGGGAATGAACTGCTACAGATGTTGCCTCTAATGCCTACTAACACTGGTAAGACACCTGGCCTTCTAGGGCCTTACTTCCCTCATCTGTAGAATGAGGAGGCTGGACTACATGTCCCCTGAGATGCCTTCTAGCCCCAGATCTGTAATACTCCAAACTTCCCTTTCCAGTCACATATGCTGTCTTAGGTCATATCTCCCGTTTCTCCCATCTCACACTTGGCAACATGTTGCAGCCTAGATAAGCCCACCTTGGAGCTTTCCACTGATGTTTGGTTTGCTTGTAATTCTGCTTATTTGTGGATTCATGATGTTCCGTGATTTGCATCCATAGAGCAAGATTAGAAAAATATTGGTGTTAAAGACAGGGCCTTTTGTGACAACAAGCAGCCTGAGATTATTACATATATGATTTCCTAAATGTGGTCCAACCTAACCCCTCAGTTTTGAACCCAGCCCATTGTCCAACTGTTAACACTTGTTAAAGATAAATATATGCATACAGACATATATGTAGGGATAGAGACTGGACCTCTGTGTGTGTGTGTGTGTGTGTGTGTGTGTGTATGCATATACACACACACATATATAGATGTGTATGGGACTGGGCCTGTGACTGTGTGTGTAGTGTATCTATACATAAATACATACATATACACACACACACACACACTGTATGCACATTAACATATGGTTTATATGTATATATACATATACATATGTGTATGCAGCCATTTACATGATACACATATCTATAAAAGGATCGTTTCAAGTCCTGGCTTCCTCTATGGCTGTGCGACTCTGGATCCATCAGCGATCTAGGACAGGTGTCAAAACCAGATTAAAATGTAATTAGGTAATATTTAACAAAATAAAAATATGATACAACATAGAATAAGTGGTTTCCTAAGTCAGTATGTGCCTGGAAGGATCCTTTCTTATGCTTTAGTGGCCCTTTTTTCTATTTGAGTTTGAAACCATTGATCCAGGCAACTCTTAAGACTTAGTTGCAGAGAAGGTGCTGACCAAGCTGAATTGGTAATTTCCTCACCTGGGAGTTCCTTATACCAGCACAGTCATGGATCCCTAAATCTGTTTTTCTGTAGATAGATAAATAAACAGATAATCAGTGGACCATCCAGAATTATATCATGGTCTGGTCAATGTGTTCCTTGGCCATTTTTTTCCATATGGAAGGTTAAATCTATCTCTTAACATTGACACAGATTCATTTCACAGAGGTGACTTTGTAGCTTGAGAGGATTCTGTTTATTGAGCTCAGTGACATTTGTCAGTAGGAACACTTGCAGAGCCTCACCATCGCTCTCCTTTTTTTTGGATTCTTCAAAGGAAACTTTCTATGACAGCATACTCCTCCTCTCTGTCTTATACTTCACTTGATCTTGACTGTTGTTTACAGTGAAATCTTTATATTAGTTACACCTTTTATCAGTTGTGTGACCACAAGGATCTGGCTTGGTGTAGAAAATCATCTGCAAATGCCTACCTCCATTCCCTTTTTGTGATTTCCTCAAAGCTATGCTCCAGGCATGGATAGACCATGAATGTACATAAGATTAATGCTCCAGCTATTTCGCTCTCTGGTTATTCCAATATATAAGAATTGTTAGAGTGGCAAGAGATGGGCAAAGCTGGCAAAATTCCAAATCTTTCTACTTTATGCTCAACATAGGAGGTGGTAATTGTCATAAATTAAGTGGATAACTTGGCCTGAGTCCAAAACAGTAGCTGTGGAACCATCTCTGGGGTCATCTGTCCTACAGCCAGTATCTAGGAATACATGGGTTCCTAAAGTAATGGGATTGAGTACATCTGTTTTTCCTTATGAAGAAAACTGATAGTCAGTGCTGCTGTCATCACCTCCATGGACCTGTTCTTTGTTCCTATACTTCCCTTCCCCTTCCTGATCGCATAATCTTTTCCTACCTCCACTGACAGCCTAATTTTAATTCCTTACAGCTAGATGGAGAGGGTAGAGTACTGGACTTGGGCAAGACCTAGATTCAAAATCTGCCTCACACAGTATATACTAGCTGTAGGATCATTCTGTTTCCTCATCTGTAAATGGGCCCCAACCTCACTGGGTTAATGTGAGGATTTGATTTGACAAGATAACATATATAAAGTGCCATCAACGTATGAGGCATTATCATCAAATAGTTGTGATCCAAGGTTCTCAAAAGCCCAGCCAATGGAGTGAAAATTCTGGCAGGTCCCAACAAGCAAAAAAAGTTCCAAATAACCAATAAACATATATTAAGCTCCCACTACGTACCAGGCACCATGCTAAATGCTGGAGATACCAGCAGAATTTTTGTGTAAAACAGGCAAAAGGCAGTCCCTGCTCTCAAGGAATTTACAATCTAATGTGGGAGACAACATGCAGACAACTATATACAGGATAAATATGATAATTAGCAGAGGAAAGGTACTAGAATTAAGAGGAGTTGGGGAAAACTTTTTGTGTAAGGTGAGATTTTGGTGGGGACTTAAAGGAAACCAGGGAAGTCAGTAGTCAGACCTTAGAAGGAAGAGCATTCATAGGAGACAGCCAGAGAAAATTCCCGGAGTTGATAGATGGAGTGTATTGTTTGTGGAGCAGCCAGAAGGCCACTGTCAATGAATTGAAAAGTATATGTCAGGGATAAGGTGTAAGAAGATTGTCAAGGCAGGAGGAAGCTAGGTTGTGAAGGGCTTTGAACGCCAAATAGAGTATTTTGGATTTGATCCAGGAGGCAATAGGGAACCAGTGGGGTTTATTGAATTATTGTGGGGGGTGACACAATCAGACCTGCACTTTAGGAAAATCATTTTAGTGATTAAATGGAGGATGGATTGGAGTGGGGAGAGACTTGAGGCAGGCAGACCCACCTACTGGCTATTGCAGAAGTCCAGGTGTGAGGTGATGAGGGCCTGCACTAGAGAGGTGGCAACATCAGAGGAGAGAAGGGGACACATTGAAGAGGTGCTGCAAAGGTGAAATCAACAGGCTTTGGCAAAACATCGGATATGGGGGGTGAGACCTCATGAAGAATCCATGATGACTCCTAGGTTGTGAGCCTGAGGAACTGGGAGGGTGGTGGTGGTATTGCCCTCTAGAGTAATAGAGAAGAGGGGAGGGTTTAGAGAAAAATATAATGAGTTCTGTTTTGGACATACTGAGTTTAAGATGTCTTCTGAACATCCAGTTTGCGATATCTAAAAGGCAGTTGGAGAGATTAGATTGAAGGTCAGCAGAGAAACTGGGGCAGAAAAAGGTAGATTTGAGAATCGTCAACATAGAGATGATAATTAAATCTATGGGAGCTAGTAAGATCACCAAGTGAAGTAGTATAAAGGTAGAAGAGGAGAGAGCCCAGGATAGAATCTTGAGAGACTATAGTTAGAGGGCATGATCTGGAGGAGTGTCCGGCAAAGGAGACAGAGGAGCCATCACACAGATGAGAGGAAACCTGGGAGAGAGTGATTTTCCAAAAACCTAAAGAGAACAGAGTATCAAGGAGAGAGTGATCAACGGTGTTAAAGGCTGTAGAGAGATCAGGAGAGTGAGGACTGAGAAAAGACCATTGGATTTTGTCCAGGTATTTATTAGCTTCGCTGAGTTCAGAGAAGCTCGTTACCAACCTGCTTGGCTGTAGGGTTATTAATTATTTGGGGGGGGGTGGATGGGAAATACTTTCAGCAGAGTACCGGGGAAATAGAGTAAGCATTGCATAAATACCAGTTTAATTGATTGATTGATTGATTTCAAAGACCACCCCCAGAGGGCTGGCAATCTGTCTTGGTGGAAGAAATGTGGAATCACAAGTCATTGAGGTATAAAGAAAAAGCAATTCTAAGTTCCTAAACTATATCCTGAACATTTTTAAAATGTATTAATAGAACCCCACCCCCACCCAATAGTCTCGCCACATACAGAGATACTTAAAACAGGCTAACAATCGATTTCACTATGAAAAGCATTGTTGTTATTGTTGTGTCATTTTAGTCATGTCCAACTCTTTGTGATCCCATTTGGAGTTTTCGTGGCAGAGTTACTGGAATGGTTTGCCATTTCCTTCTCCAGCTCATTTTA